TATATATATATATATATATATATATATATATATATATATATATATGGAGAGAGAGAGAGAGAGGGAAGAAGGCTGATGAAGCAGAATCTTGCGTGGGAAGTAGCATGGGGTGAAGAAGCATAGAGGAATAGGACTCGGAAGGAAATATGTGCAAGAGCGTGTGAACTGTAAGTTGATGTGTGTACATTGTGTCGCCTTCATTTAGATACGAAAGATAAGCCACGAGCATCCGCGGCTGCAGACGAGTGGGGTGCTTCAGGTAAGGCGTCAGATTGGTGCATGGCCATCGTGCATTTAATTAAATGGGAAGGGAGAAGCAGAAGGGGGGGGGGAAAGGATGCTACCGCATTGGCAGTTACACATCCTCACCACTGGTAGAGGTGCTCATTGCGGCCAAGTTGTGTATGCATGGAGGGAGAGAGGGATAGAAAAGAAGAGAGAAGTGAGGTATCCCTCTTTTTTTGGTGTCCTATCTCACACACACACTCTGTCTTTCAGTTTGTGTGTGCGCGTTGTTGTTGAGTGTGAGGTGTTTCTTGTGCACGGGAAATAGTGCGAACAACAAGGTACCGTTTGTTTTTGTATTTTTCTCATTGACTCGTTGTTTTGTTTTATTTTGGTTTGCTGTTCTGTTTCGTTGATGTTTGGTTGGTTTCACTCCACCTGTTGGTGTTGATACGAGTCTCCAACCCCCGTCACCGTGTACCTCTCTCTCTCTCTCTCTCGCGGCCCGCTGGCGTTTGCGGGGCATACTGAGACGTGCTGCGTGGGCGATGCGGACAGCATATCTGTCCAGCACGCGGGGCTGGCATGTGTGCGGCCCAGCGAGAACACGCATACACCGGCGTGCTGCGAGAGAGGCATGCTTTGCCTCACGCACCCTCTCCTCCACTCCATTCATGCGCGCGCCTCATTCCCTGTTGCAGTGTTTGCTGTGGTATATTTTTTTTCTGTCACAGCCATTTTCTGTTATTCTTTTTCTTTACGCCCCACTTTTCGTATTTCCTCTCCCTTTTTCTCTCTCACTATTTGCGTGTGTGTGTGTGTCGCTGCAGTGGCGGTGTGCGCATGCAGGAACTGCGGCAATGAACAGATGGTTGCGAGAGCTGTGAAGTGGCCAGAGTAAGGAAGCGAAGCATGACGGTGGCCATGGTGCGTGTGTACTACTGTGCCAGGGGTAAATGAAAGTAAGCCGGAGCCGGATGTAGATAGAGGAGGAAGAGCAGAATGCGGAGGACGTGGATTGTGTGTTTCCTGCCTCTTTATTTACGTATCCTCTTATCGGTGTGTTGTGTACTTGAGTGATAAGGAAGGGCCCACCTGCTGCCAACGATTCGGCTCGGGCTTTTTTGTAGCCACTTGTACGCCTACTTGGGCGTGGCTGTGTGCCTCTATGATGGAGGTTCTACCACTTTCGCTGCGGGGGGAAGTGGTGCAATTGCGGGGGAAAACGAAGATCCACATAAAAACGCGGTGGGTGGGGGGGGGGCGAAAAGGACACGCACGCGACTCCCAGGCGTGGCTGCATTTTTATCCAAATATTTGTACAGATGCGGTAGAAATCCAGGTGCAATGGACTTGTAAGCGCATGTACGCGTCGCAGCATAATGCATGGGGCTATGGTTGAGGAGAAAAAGGAAGAAAACAAAAATGAGAGATTATTAAGCCTAGCTCTCTTTCTTTCTTAATCGGCATCCGTGAATGAGTAAATGGGTAAGTAAATACGTTTTTCTTCCTTCTTGAAATCCCCATCCATTCCCCGTTCCTCTTGTCTTTTTAATAGTATACCTGCGTCTACGTCTCTATTTGTGTGTATTTGGTTTATATGTGAGGAAAATAAACAAATGCATGAGTGGCTGTGGATTCAATGCTTTTTATTTACGTATTTGTGTATTTCGATTTTCTTATATGCGTATATGCTTTCCGATGCCTTTTTTTTTTGGGTTTCCTATTGCTGTGACGTTGGGTGCTCGGGTGGTAGCTGCATGTTATCTTCTCTTATTTTTTGTTGTTATTTTTGATGTTGGTGTTTGCCAACTGTGCTGCACTGATGCAGAGCAAAGAAACCATGTACACCTTCAAGCGTTCACAGCAGCAACGACAGCCCTTCCCGGTTGGCAACACTAATGATGGAGACGGGGAGAAGGGGGGGATGACGTACGCGACGTTGCCCGATGGATACGGCGACGCGGGCGACGGAACTGCGGCGGATGGGGGCGGGCGTAACACTAACGAATACGGCACAGGCGAGTGTACGACCGTGGCTGATGACGGGAAAGAGGCCGCAGTACAGCAACTAGAAGGCGGAGGAGACTTCACGGGGCAGCCGCAGTCGCAGGTGCCTGGTGATCACCTCTTCGTGCAGGCATCGGCGGAGGAGGTGCTGCAATACTGCCGCGATATGATTCTTCGCCGTCAGATTACGCCACCCCCGCAGTGGCGACGCATGCGTACTGACCTGCCAGCCTCCATCGCGGAGTTGCGTCTCACACCCTCTGCGCCGGAGCCTATTCAGTACACCCACCCCATCACCCCGTCACCCTGCGTTGTCCTGCAGCTTGACAACAGCGTGCCGGAGGGAATGACAACCAAGGAATACTCCAAGAGTCTCGTAAAGTATATCATGGATCTTCTAGCATACCAGCGGGCCTCTACTGCCATCACCTCACTGCGGTTCGTCAAAATTGGCACGGAACTATCGCAGCTTGTGCTGACGTTTGGCCGTGATGTGCAGCTGGCATCGCTGGTGCTGGGGGAGTTTGCAAAGGTCGGTCTCCAGGCCGGGTTTGGTGCCCCCATCAAAAGCCATTTACCTAACGCGACCTTCCGTCTGACGGATTATTACATGACGCTGCACGACGGTACCGGCATTACTGCAGAGGACATTGTTGCGCTGTTAGGTTCAATTCAGTCGCCGCAGGACATCAGTGTCCTGGCCGGGTATGAGCCCGGGGTATTCTATGCGGCGGTGAGGCGTCCAGAGACAGTGTACGCCTGGCTGTGGAATCCTTTTTGTTCCTTTGTGGTGCAGCGAACCCTCTTTGAGCAATGTGGAGTGCTTGTAACAATGGCAGACTGCCCGCATGAGTTCGTTGGACGTAGTGGGGGGTCGTTTACCACGGAGCAAAGGATGTATGAGCCTGGGCGGGGCCGACGAGAATTGGGAGGTGATGGCAACGGCAACGACGTCGAGGGAACGGCTAACGTTGGTGCCGGGGACTATGATAATGTCGACGAGAACACCAACGATAATGATAGTAATGAAGTGGAGGAGTACAACGATCTTGACGGGGGCAATCGCGTGGTAAATAGTGGCGCACTGGAGTGGACCCGCAATGCAAAGGAGGAAATTGATATTTTTGAGGGAATCGACAAGCCGTCCACACGAGAAGCAGCGCGCCTGGAATTTGTAGATGACGACATCACAGAGCTTTTGCAACAGGTGAATGTAGAGAAGCAGCAACAGCAACAGCAACAGCAACAGCAACAGCCTGCGGTGTACACTGGCGTGACGCAATCAGTTGGACTTTATGATCGGGCTGTTGAGGGAGTGGCGTTGCCCGGTACGTATGCGCAGCCACCTGCCCTGCAGCAACCTCAGCAGCCGTACCCGTACTATGGCGATGGTGCGCTTCTGCTTCCATGGCAACAAGAGCAGCAACAGCAACTCGTAAGTGACCCGCAATTGGTGGGGCAAACGGTGCCTCTGTCGTATGGTGCAATGCCATCGTTCACAGACGTATACATGCCAGCACGCGAGCAAACTGTAAAGTATCCTGAACTTGTGGATGAAGCTGACATTAATGCACTTCCAGAACTCATGAACAATGAGGCTATGACTTCAAATGGATTAATAACACAACAGCAGCGGCAGCAGTTGGAAATGCATTGGTTTTCAGAAGGGGCGCCAATGTCCGTAGTTGGGAATTGTGATGTTTTGTACCCTATGTCATCAGCTCTTCCATGTGTTACACAGTCGTTTGCTCCATCAATGCAGTTACCATTGCATCCGCACCTTATGCACGACGGGGCGAACGTCATGCCTTCTATTCTCGGGCAGCCTTTGTACAGCAGTCCTTATGCTCCCGTTACTGTCAGCTCCGAAAATAATAATATTAATAATCAAAACAGCGACATGAATCAATATCAGCATCATGGTCCGGGTATTCTGGCCTCCTTCCCCTTAACAAATGGGCCGCTACCGCTGCCACGCATCATCACGGTGGATAGGGCACAAGAGTTGGCTAGAAGGGTTGTAGAGCTGGTGCAAGTGATATTCCCTATACCATCAGTGTCCTCATCACCACTGCTGCCACTCGCAACAGCGGAAGAAAAGATGGAAGAAACCCTCACTATACAGGTCGCTTCACCTGATAACGAGGAGGATACTGTTTCAGCGTCATTGTTTCCCCGTGTCCCATGCACTGCCACCGTACCTCGTGTGCGTGCCGAAGTGAAGGATCTCATTTTTTTTATTCAGGAGGAGTACTTGCAACTCAAGCAGGTCATTGAGAGCTCCACTCCTGAGATGCGGGAAAGTCGTCACCGCATTGTATCTGCCCTTCTCGCCCATAGGCCAGGTCTGCTTAACAGCGATGAGGAGGCGGATTGGATGCCACAGGAGGAGGGCAACGTGAATGAGGGGACGAAGGGTCCGCAGCTATCAGCTCTTCTTCCTTATCTGCTAGCAACAACAGAGGGAACAGAACTTGTGTCCGTCATAGCGTCACATGACACGGAACAACTTCTTCCGGTCCTGGCACGATATGTGTTACCGTTTCTATTGGATGCCGCAGTTGTGCGCTCCGTCGTCGCCGTGGCGTTGCGTGCGGAGCCTACCGCAGAGAACCCTCTGGTGAAGCGTATTATGCGTCACTGGGGGCCTTTGGCCTCCTGGCTGCATGAATATATTAATTGTCAGGCCGCTGCTGCGGAAATGCGTGCAGAGGAAGAGTTGGAACATGTCACGACAACTCAGCAGACACTTAAATCCACAGCAAGGGCTACAGTGGTACGAAGACTCACCTCGCATGTGGGGAACACAATTGACATGCTTCTGGCAGCCATGTCTCCAGAACAGCGTAACGATACGAAAGCGTATCTTGATGCCACTAAAGCACTCGAGACATTTGTGCGGTCATTGCAGACAGCGGAGCAACAAGACTCTGAGCAGGAAGCGAAAGACGCAGCATCCCGGAAAGCAGACACCTCTCACCTGTCCATGATCACACTCTGGAGCGCCGAAGGGGCTGTCCACCGCTCTTTACTGCGTCTCTATCTTAACGCCAACCTCCTAGGCGGCAAGGAGCTGGTGGACTTGTTATTCGTCTCACAATCATTCTTAACGCGGGATCAATATTACTTTGTTCTTGTGGCCTTCTCGAAGAGCCTCGTTAGCCACGTGCTGAGTGATGAGACAGCACGTGCCTGTGGTGCTTTTCTACGTGTGATGGAGCAGAAACTTCTTAATCTGGAGACATCCAACACTGACGGCAGCGGCAGCGGCAGCAGCAGCAACAACGCACCCCTGCTGACAGAAAAGGACGCTGTGAACCTCCTCGACACTGCACTGCGGGCAATTGGATCGACGGAAGCGTACACGTGTTTGCGGGATGCGTACCTCGCAACAGTTCTACCGATGAAGCGATACGAGAGAGTGGAGGCGAAGTTGGCGCAGCCAACGCTGCCGGTGATATCAGCTTTGTCGCCTCCTGCACCAGAACAACATCCTCATTCTCATTCCTCTCATCCAGGCTCACAGCAAAAGGTGGATGGGCAGCCGTCTGACCCACGAAAAGGCTGGACGGCGGCGTGGACGGCTGTCATGCGCAACTATCCTCAATTGGGCGATCCGTTTACCCCGCTGCCGACAGGCTGGACGAGTGCATTAAGTCGCTCGTACGGGCACTATTACTTTAAGGACGCCAAAGGTACTGCGACGTACAAGCACCCGACTGATGCGGCAGAGTTTATGGCGACTCCTCAGGCCTTCCTGCGGGAAACTGGTGTAAGCACCACTCTTGCTGATGTCCTTGCGTACGCAAATAATAACCATAATAATATCAATTCCGCCAAGAAAACCGAGGAGGAAGAGGTTGGGGCCACAGCACCTGCGGGAGAATCTGCAGTTGCTGCAGTTAATTACTTGGATAGTGGTGTGAAAATCACAGAGGAAGAGGCGGAACATTGGTTAGGGGATCAGCGAATACGCGTGGAGGCGCTCGACATGGCCACTCTGGCGCTGCTGAAGATTACTTACCGTGCCGATGGAGGTGCGGGACGGCGCGGTGGCCACGATCGCGGCAGAAGATCTAGTCGGCGTCGACGTGAAAGCAGCGAGGGACACCGTCGTCACGGTCACCATCATCATTCCCGTAAACGTGCACGCGGTAGTCCGTGCAATGTGGCCGAGCTGCAGCGCAGGCTCATCAAACTCAGCAGCTACCCACCACGCGGTCATCCGTTTCCACCGCTCCTGCGCGGTTGGACATGCAACCTCAGCTCCTCTAATGGGCTTTACTATTTCCGACCGCCACGGGGAAACCCTGTTTATCAGCATCCCGTGAGCCGTTGCGAATACCGCGCTTCGCCGCAGGCATTTGTCTTGCATCGTGGCATCCACGCCAATGCGATTGCCGTTGAGGCGCACAAATCCGTGGAGGAGGTTGAGAGGTGGTTAACGGATCAACGACAGCGTGACGAGGCCATTGATGCGGCGGTTGTGCTTATGGTTCCGATAGAATATGCCCTGATCCCTGAATACGACGAAGGCGACATGAAAGTTGGCGAGGAACCGCAACAGCAGCAGCAAGAGGAGCATGAGGGTAGCGATGGTCGTCGTAGTATCAGTTCTCACAACACGACGGTAACAACAAAGTAGCACTACAATGTCTTATTTGTCATTGTGTGCATGCCGGCGGAGTCTTCAAAACAAAAACAAAAAACAAAAAAAAACTGTCTCCGCCCGCACCGCTTTTAGAGAATGGAAAAGAAACTAAAAATGAACAAAAGGGAAGAAATATATATATGGTCTTAGGTCTCACGCCGTTGTGTGTGCTACACTAAAGGCATATAAGAGAGCGTCCTAAACTGACAAAGAAACACGGAAAGAAGTCATGTTAAGGATCCTTCAATATTTTTTTTTACGTCTGCCGCAGCTGTGATTCCGTCTGCTTTCTTCGTTGCCCTTTTTTTCTATTTCCTTATTTTTGCGTCTTTTCTGCTCTTGTATTGTCTGCTGCACGTTATACTTGCAGGTATGTGGAAGATTACCGTGTTTTGTACATAAATCTTGCTTTTAAATTTCCGCTTTTGTTTTTTTTCTTTGCTTTTTGGATTCTTCCCGCCCTATTCCCCTTTTTTTTTGCACTCTTAACATCGTACACTGTGCTCGAAAAAGGAAGAAACGTCAGTTGGTTGCGGAAGAGGGTGGTGGGGCGGCTGCTGCGAAGCGCAAGGAGCATAAAATAGGGAGGGAACGGAGAAGGCTGTTTGTGTTTCTGTGGGTGGGTGGGTGGTAGGCGTGGTGCATATCATCCCCGCGCGAAAGCCACAAACGGGAGGGAGTTGAATAAGTGTCAGTCGCAGAGAAAACCACGTCCGGTGTCAAAATGTCGTCCGCAACCGAGTCGCTTCGCTGGGTCAAGTACGACAACGTGCACTACGCCTCGCTGGTTGTGCCGGACGACGACGCACCTATGCCAGTAGAGAGTGGCCATGTGTTTGTGTACTTTCTTGGCAGCGAGAGCGGCGCCGTCGTGCCGATTGGCGACACTTCTCCGTACGATCCGCACGACACGTCACGGACGAGTCATCCAGCCGCTGCGGCGGGTGTTCTTGTGGCGCAGCAAATCATCGCAGGGGCAGAGACGGCGGCCCAGGAAGACGCAGCAAAGGAATACGCGGAGGCGACAGCGAGGGACAGCCCAAAGACGAAGGGGAAGGGTGGCCGAACGATACATTATCACAGAGAGGCTCCACTCGCCGTGGGCGGGAGTTCGGAAGAAGAGGAGGATATGGTGTTGGGGGCAATGTTGTCCATGGAGACTAATAAACGGAATGAAAGGCAACAGAAGGACAATGATGACGAGGAGGAAGAGAATGCTGTGTTGCAGATTCAGTCTCAAAGAGGAGGCCAGAAGGATCATATTGAAGATGCGGAGGAGGAAGAGGACGACAGCATAACAGGCAGCAGTGATGTGGTGAACAAGGAGGAGGAAGAGCAGCGAAGTCGTTGGAGGGATATGGCGGAGGATCTTAACATCACGGCACCATCACGCAGTAGTGGAGGCAGAGGCAGCCATGCCAGAAGCAGTAATAAGCGACAGGCAGATATATACCCCGCCTCATTGGATGGCGGTTCTATTGTGGGACCTTTTCTTGCGGAGATACGTCATTACTACCGCGTGGCACTTACAGAGGCGGTGGATAGTGATCGTATTGTGAATCTGCAGGAATTGGAGCTTGTTCGCCTGGTGGAGAGTCAGCTGCTTCAGTGGCGTGGCGAAGTGGCATACGTCCAGCAACTTTTACAGGACGTGGAGGCGGAGTACCGTGCGGTTGCTGCTGAGTCCACAAGGGATGCGCATGACAATGGCGTTGCACAGCTTGAGGAGGAGGCAGCAGCTTTGCGTAGTCATCTGGAGCGCCTTCAGTCGTCGTTTGAGATTGAAGAAATCGTTAAGAAGCACCTTCATCTTCAGGACAAGCCGCCCGAGCGGCGTGAACGCAGGCGTACGGGGACTTTTGCTGCAGGCAACGTCTTTACTTTCACTGACGCATCTCTGGCGTTTGTTTTAGATGTGCAAGCCTCTACTGCAATGCCACGCGAGTTGACGCATCAGTTGGCACGCCGCTACCGTGAACAGCGGCTACGCCGTGAGCGACTTCTCGCTTCGCAGCACGGACTTGGAAAAATCGGGTTCACCTCTTCAGTGGCATGTGTGATGGAGAAATGGAGGCGGTCTCGTGAGTTGATCGTGCTTGACCCGCGTCGTGAGAGCCAACCCGTGTCACGTCGCTATTCCGAGAGCCTTGCCAAGGTGGAACGGCATGCCCTAAAATGTCTTTCTGCGACGAAGGGTTCTGCGAGCCAGTTGGCCTCCCTGTACCGCACGCAGCAAGAGCAACAGCAACAGCAACAAGCACAACGCATGTCGAAGAATATCTACAACTTTCATGAGTTTCACGAAGAGGAGCAGCAGATGACGTCCATGTATCAGGCGAGCAGCAGCCACCCGTATATGTTAGGCATTGGAATGCCCAACGACGCCGATGATGCCGCGGACACGTTCCAGGCCCCACTTGTCTCGCCGCTGCGAACAAGCTTTGATCCACGTGCGACCTTTGCGGTGGACGTTGGGGAGATCAAGCAAGGAAATACGCTTGCAGAGCAGCTCGCGATGCAGAGTATGCAGTACAGCCACAGTATTCACCTCCCCTCTCAGGAATTGGTATGGGAAAGCAGTGAGGCCTACGACGGTGGGCGGAGAAGGCGCACTGGGCGATCGACCAGCCGTGCTGGATCTACGTCTCGAGCGTCGTCACGGGTCTCCTCCGTGGCGCGTGATCACAATGACGATACTTTAAGCAATACTAACACCAATGCTACTACCACTAATAATAATAATAATGTGAAAACCGGCAGTGAGCGACGCGCACGAAATGATTGGCGTGCCTCAGCGAAGCGGGCCATACTTGAGCAGCTAACACTGTACCTGCGCGGTATCCGCGGGAAACCCTCACTGCTCAGCAAGGATCAGTTTCAGCTCATTGCGAAGAAACTCCTTGAGCGAGCCGTGCGAAGTGAGTCGGAGCGTACTGGTCTTTCCATGTCACTTCAGGCCAACAACGCGAACGCCCAGTTTACAAAGGAAATCGAGGCCCGTCTGCGCAAGTCTGTGGATAACTATATCATGCGCCACTTTGTGAATGCTCGTACCCCTGAGCCACAAAAGAGAAGCCGAGGCGGTGACGCAAGAACGACCTCTATAGATCAGTGGGCGGCGTCTGCTCGTGAGACGACACAGAGACAGGAGGATGAAGACGAGACGCGTTCTCTTATGGGCGCATATCCGCATTCAAACAACTCACCAGTTTACGACGAATGGTAAAGAGTGGTGGTTGCTTAGGATGCCTCTTCACTCTTTTTTGTTCTTTGTGTAGAGACACACTCAATGCCCCCTCACAAAGCGCACACAGATATACGACTAAAGTGCCATGAAGAGCGCGGCTGCTTGACGCCATGCAAAATCCGCGCTTGGCATGTTTCTAGGTGCAGTAGCAAGACTAATATGGGAAGGAGGGGAGAAATGTGTGGGGGTGGGGGGTAAAAGGGTGGCGTTGAAGGAAAACAGTGCGTAAAAAGAAAAAAAAGGTGGGGGGGTGGAGGGTGTGGAGGAGGAATGAAATGGATAAAAAAGGGGGTTTGTACGATATTCAATGAGATACTATTCCCTCCATCTCCTATCTCACTCATCTCGTTTTTTTGGTAACGCGCCCCTGTGAACGCTTCAGTGGTTACGTTTTATACCCTTCAATGTGCGTGTACGTAACGTGCGTCTCACTCCCACTTATGTAGCCCCCGGGTGGTTGTGCCTTTTCTTCGTGTTGTTGCTTTTGGTGAAGGCTTCTTGAACGGCTGTTGTTGATGTGTTTCCCTCTTCCTTTTGATTGCCTTTGGTTTCGACCATATATATATATATATATATATATATATGTGTGT